ATGGATAGCAGGAAAATATTGAATAGTTATACAGACAGAAAGCTTTGATGTTAGAACTGGATTGGTTGGGGATACCAATAGTGTATACAGGAAGTCTTTCAACTTATGACCGCCCTTGAGGCCAGGATTTCTGCTATTAAGTGAGACATTTGTTATTTCTCCTTATTTTACGACCTTTTTTGCCACCCTGGTTAAGTGAATCACCACAATTGATAAGTTAGTAACCCGGTTCTTAAGTGAATCTGGCTTCCTCACTGATTTTCCTTGTCAAAAAAAAAATTGTAATAGGGAATGGCATGACCTTGGGACACGGCGACGGTCGTAAGTATGAACCGTTGCCAAGCCTCTGAATTTTGATCATGTGACCATGGGGATGCTGCAACATTCATAATTGTGAAAAATAACAATAGCAATAGCATTTAGACTTCTAAACCGCTTCCCAGTGCTTTCCAGCCCTCTCTAAGCAGTTTACAGAGTCGGCCTCTTGCCCCCAACAATCTGGCTCCTCATTTGACCCACCTTGGAAGGATGGAAGGCTGAGCCAACCTTGAGCCTGGTGGGATTCGATCTGCCAAATTGCAATAGGAGTAGCTTGCAGTACTGCACTCTAACCACTGTGCACCATGGATGGATGGATGGATGGAAGGAAGGAAGGAAGGGCAATAGCACTTATATAACACTTCACAATGCTTTTATAGCTCTCTCTAAGTGCTTTACAGAGTCAGCTTCTTGCCCCCAACAATCTGGGTCCTCATTTGACCCACCGCGGAAGGATGGAAGGCTGAGCCAACCTTGAACCAGTCAAGATCAAACTGCTGGCAGTCGGTAGAGTTAGCCTGCAATACTGCATTCTAACCACTGTGCACCATGGATAGATGGATGGATGGATGGAAGGAAGTAAGGACAGACAATAGCACTTAGGCTTATATATACAGCTTCACAGTGCTTTTACAGCCATCTTCTTAAGCAGTTTACAGAGTCAGCCTTTTGCCCCCAACAATCTGGCTCCTCATTTTACCCACCTCGGAAGGATGGAAGGCTGAGTCAACCTTGAGCCTGGTGAGATTCGAACTGCCAAAGTTCAGGCAGCCAACAGTCAGCAGAAATAGCCTGCAGTACTGCCCTCTAACCACTGTACCACCACGGCTCAGAAATATTCATAAGTCATTTTTCATTGCCATTATAACTTTGAATGGTCACTACATGAACTATTGTAAGTCCAGGACTACCTGTATGTGCAATGCCATTTTTTTGGAAGCACCTAAACTATTCGAAATAAATGTTTACATAGACTGAATAATGTAGGACAAAAATTCAGAGATTGGGGTGTGTGTGTGTTTGACAGGAAAAAGCGTGAATTTGTAAGTTATAACAGATAATCAGAGTTGGAAGGGACCTTGTAGGTCATCTAGTCCAACCCCCCCACCCAAGTGGGAGACCCTACACCATTTCTGACAAATTATATATAAATGGCAAAAAACTAGAGTAAGTACATAAATCTGTGTGACTTGGTAGAATGTTTACTAACGATGGGAAAGTAGATTGGAAAATTTTAAGATGTGCAAAGGCTGATTGTAGGAGACATGTGGTTGGTTGCAAGGAATAGATGTTTGTGTGTGGGGTGGAATGAAACCTTTGCCCATTTTATGATAGGGAAAGGGATAATTGAGAATGTCAGGGGTCTCATAAAAGGGAATTGACTGTTGTGGGAATGTGATCCTGAAGAAGGCTGTGTGGAAGAACCAGAAGAGGAGCCGCCGAAGGGTGCCGAATGAATTAAGGATTGAAAGAAAAGTATGTCTCCAAAGGAGCTACGCTGAAATGCTTTGATCACATGCAGAGGACAAAAAAGTCACCAGACAAAGAGATGAAGGAGTGAATGAATCAAGAGGAGAGTGAAGATGGAGAGGGTTGTGTTTGGAGTTGATAGATAAAGAGTTTGAAAAAGAATCCGGAAATTTAAGGAGCAAAAGACAAAATAAGGAAGCAGTGAATGAATATGGTGGAACCCAAAGATCGTTTCCAAGGTTAGAGAGGGACGAGGGGGTACTATAGATGAATGGCGCTGTGGAAATTAATTTTAGCTGTGCTTCCTTTTCCTCTTCATTTCTTTTTCTTGCTGTTTCTGAACTCTCTTTGCCCTTTGCATGATACTGCTTACTTTAAAAGATGACTTTTAACCAAGTCTCTCTGGAGCTACCATGAAATTTGTTTGCCTGGGGCTGGTCACTCTCACGCTTTTTGGCTCTGCTTCCAATTCAGTGCTCACCCCGACTTTCTTCCAGCCCCCATCTGGGTTCAAAGCCCAACCCATCTACACCAGCAGTCTCCAACCTTGGCAACTTTAAGCCTGGAGGACTTCAACCCCAGAATCCCCCAGCCAGCTTTGCTGAATTCTGGGAGTTGAAGTCCTCCAGGATTAAAGTTGCCAAGATTGGAGACTGTTGACGTAATTCCCCGTTAGGAGAATGCGTGCATACAGGGAGACGTATTTGAGAGAAGTGTTTGAATAATACACACACAGTACACAGATACGCTGTACAGTAAATGTAGGTTTTTACTTCAAGAAAGGTTTAAGCAAAGTCCAAAATAAGCAGTCCAAAGTCGTTCACAGGTAAAATCAGTCAGTTTTCAATCCAGGGATAATCCAAATATCAAAGCCCAGTGTCAAAAAACAGTTCAGTAACAGACTTACATTAAATCCAGTAATATCAGTCAATTCGAAGAAATGGAGGAACAGCAATACTTTCCAACAGAAGGAAACAGATACTCACTCAGACATACTCTCTTCTGAGACTAAGACTAAAACAACCCAGGTTTCGGGCTCCATCTTATGGCCGTTTGAGAAACCATACCCAATTGCAGTTTTTGCAATCTCTTGAAAATATAGTACTAAAATGCCTATCCTGGTTTATATATTTCTAAGCCAAATACCTGTTAGGTGACTTATATTCCTAACAGAGACCCCTGATCTACACCCTCAGAAGCTGCCCTAGATGGTGTCACAACAAATGCTAGTTTAATGGTCTTTAATGGTCCACCCTCTATGCCAGTGTTGGCTAACCTTTTTGGGCTCCTGTGCCAAAAATTATGCATGTGCAGAAGGCAATACGCGCAATCCCCCCATGCCACCTGCTTACCTGCACTGGGCCTCACAGCTGATTTTTTGGCTGGTTTGAAGCCTTTTTCAGCCTCCCAGAGGAGGCTCCGGGCCAATGTTTCACAACCTTGGCAGCATTAAGATGTATGGGTAGACCTCCGTCTGCAGAACTTCCCCAGCCAGCCCGGGGAATTTGGGGAACTGGACTTTAAGCTGCCATTGCTGGGAAACATTCCTGTATGCCCTTCCATCCATGGCATTTTGCAGAAGACTCAGGAAGCATAACAAAAGTATGGCTTTTTTTCTTTCTTTCCGGGGAAGGAGGCATCGAATCCCACTGCAAAATTTGAACAGATTGGAAGGAATATTTTCAGCCGAGTAGCTTTTTTCCTCTATTAAAAATAGTTGCTCTGCTTGAACACTGGAGTTTTCTTTCCTAATCCTTTTTGACACCGTTATAAAAACATTGAAAAGCTTCCCTTGGTAAGCAGTGGGTCCATCTTGTCTGTATTGACTCTCAGCAAAGTTTCAAGTAAAATTTGTTCTGAATTCCTCCAAAGATGTTTAGAGGTCAGTCTTGGGGCCATTGATTCACGTCCCTGTTAGTTTGCAGGCAGATTTTGTCAATAGCCTTCCTCGGAGACGTCAAATATAGGAATTAGGCCGTTTGACTTTCTACCTTTGTTGGGCATCTCCCTTCCCAGGTGTACTTGACTTGCCTGAGGTGATTGGGCATTGAACTAAATGGTTTTGCCATATCACTGCTTTCACCCACTTGGCAACAAATGTTTTCTGGCCCTCTTGTGCGTGTGGGACAGTTGCCTCCTTCTTAATGTGGTTGGGTAATCCTCACCAATCAAGAATGAACATGCAATGGCTGATATCACAATGTTGCCTCTGAAATGGCACCAGCATCAAATGTCAGTCACTTTTTTGGCAACTATTCATTATGTTGCAGAAGTTGTTGCAGACATGTTAAGGAAAGAAGAAAGTCTTTTTTGCAAGGGGGAAAAAAAGAATTTGGCGTGTGAAACGCTGCTAAAAAAAATGTGTTAAAACAAAGTTTCATACACACTTTGATTCTTAAAATCGCATGAATCAGTCTGGATATTGTTTTGTGGGTCATTCTTCTGAGGCCCGTTTCATTCTAAGAACTCCATAATTTCCCCCCAAACAGGTCACTTTTTCATGGGGGTGGGGAATTTTCTTAACTCCCCCTCCCAACATGAAAAATGTTGGATGTAGCTTCAGTCTTAACAGTGTTTTAAAGCTGGAAGCCATGTTTTAAGATGATGATGATGATGATGATGATGATGATTTATTTAAATTTATTGGCCACTAAATTTAAAAAAAAATTACAGTTGTTTTAAACTAAAGTCCTAGCACCAACACATTTGAGATCTGTTTGTGAGTCTGCTGTAGGCATCTGGGGCAGTGTTTCCATTCTTCAAGTAGAATGCGGACTTGCATTGGATGGCAGTGTAATTCTCTCACGGGCCAGTCCTATGTTTAAATCTTTTGAAAATTTTAGGAACCAAACAAAAAGATTGACAGCCGAGCAGAGAAGTTTAGCTTGGCTATCACAGGGGAAAAAAAAAACCCTCTGTAGAGGTATCAGAAAGAGAATTCCATCCTTGTGGACTCCCCAGCTGAATTCCAATTAAGTTGGAATTTTCTTTTTTCAATAGCCATAAGAAGTCTTATGCTACCATTTTTGTGTGTGTCCTGCCTCAGATTTTGATGGCACTGTTGCCTCATAGGCCAAAAAGAAAGAAACCTCTCCAGCTTGGAGACATTCATTGCTGCCCAGCATTGAGAGGCTGTTTTCATAAATACGTGCACAAAATGTTGGCTCTCCCAAAACATTCTAACTCTTTCTTTCCTCCTGTTTATTTTGCAGGTATTCCTTTGGTAAGTGAATATAACTCAGAGCATCGCAAATAGTTGTTTTTTTCAATGCACTTTTCGGGTATGTAATCTTTTAAAATTACTCTTATTTTTTTCCCTTCCTTTCTAGAGAGAGGTGTGCCCCATGCTTTTAAAGGCCCTAGTGTCTTATGTCTCCAAGTCCTGCTTAGAACAGGTTATTTCAGACTGTGTTCCATGAAGGGTTCCAGAATACTTTAAAAAAAAAATCACTCAGACAATTTGCTAACACCAGAGCTTTGCCTCTTGACCAGAGGTTATGAGAATTTTTGTTTTTCTTTTCTAACTAGCAGGTTCCATGGCCTGAGAAAAGTTGGACAACTTCTGCCCTGCAGTGCTTAAGGCTTGTAATCCTTCTGCTCCCCTTTAACCCCTCTCTCGGCGGCACCTGAAGCTCATTGAAAAGCCAGAGAAAATGTGGTCCCAATTTCAGGCAGAACCATCACAATGGGTTTAAGTTTCAGGAAAATAGCCGTTCTCAAGAGCCCGTTGCTTCTCCCGGCAGCCCTTCTATGGTATATACTATAGAATAGATCTCCAATCAAAGAAAGAGCCCAAATAAGTTTCCTGCAGAGACATAGCCAATGCGGCCATCCCCTCCTTACCTGCAAGGTTAGCCACAAGCAGGTGTTTTTCTAAGAGATGTGTGCTGTTTTCATTGTTAGAAATGTCAACAGAGAAAGTGGGCGCCAAGATTCACAAATGCCACCTACACTTTAGAGTAGAGTAGAATAGAATTCTTTATTGGCCACACAAGGAATTTGTCTTCGGTGCATAAGCTCTCAGTGTACATAAAAGATAGAAGTAATAAATTGTGATCCTAGTTATCATAAAAATACATTCATCATAAATCACAAGATACAACACTTAGTGATAGTCATAGGATACTAAAAGGCAATCAACTTAAATGATCATACTAGGAAATGAAATAAAACAATATAAACTGTAAAGATGCAAGCAACAAAGTTATAGTCATAAGTAAAAAAGGAGATAGGTAATAGGAAGGATGTGAAGAATAATAGATATAGAATAATAGTCTTAGGAAATAGTTGGGCATTGTTGAGGGAATTATTTGTTTAGCAGAGTGATGGCGTTTAGGGAAAAACTCCCCTTGTGTCTAGTTGTTCTGGTGTGCGGTGCTCTATAGCATCGTTTTGAGGGTAGGAGTTGAAGCAGTTTATGTCTAGGATGTGAGGGGTCCGTAGATAATTTCATGGCCCCCTTTTTGACTTGTGCAATATACAGGTCCTTCATGGAGGGCAGGTTGGTAGCAATTTAAAAAGGCATTTGATTTAGGACTGTATCTGAGTACAGGTAGTCTTTGACTTATGGCTACAATTGAGCCCAAAATTTATGTAGTTAATCGTCAAGGTGAAGACCTCATTGGCTGGTGGGCTTAAGCCCTCGGTTCCCAACCTCTTGGGACTGGTGGGCGTATCTGCACTTCGAAGGCATCTCACGGAGGAAAGGAGATGGCTTGACACATACTCCTAGTTACCCAAAGGCAAACAAGTGGCACCTTGTTCCAAACTCTTCCCAGCACCTGGGCGTGACTTTTCTCCAGTATTTTCCCCAGGTTGCAGCCCCAGGTATCTAGTAAAAGCCACCACCACAATACCAGGTGTGTTATGACAAATGACACTACGTCACATACCAACCTTCTGTTCAAAACAAATAATAAAATACTGAAGCAGTATACATACAGAAAGTTTTGATGTTAAAACTGGATTGGTTGGGGATACGAATATTGTATACAGGAAGTCTTTTCAATTTACGACCATCATTGAGTCCAGGATTTCTGCTGTTAAGTGAGACATTTGTTATTTCTCCTCATTTTACAACCTTTCTTGCCACCGTGGTTAAGTGAATCACCACAATTGATAAGTTAGTAACCCGGTTCTTAAGTGAATCTGGCTTCCTCACTGATTTTGCTTGTCAAAAAAAATTGTCATAGGGGATGGCATGACCTTGGGACACGGCGACCGTCATAAGTATGAACCATTGCCAAGCCTCTGAATTTTGATCCTGTCATGAGGATGCTACAAAGGTCGTAAGTGTGAAAAAATTGTCATAACTTTGAAAGGTCACTAAATGAAGTGTTGAGAACTACCTATACCCCTTGCTGTGCCAACTTTGTTTTTTTTATAACAAGTTTTTTATTTTTAACAACAAACATAGACAAACATAAACATAAAACAACAAATAAAATCTTTCAATTATCCAGTGTGTCAGTTGGTACATATTTTTTGTGCACAATATCTATAGTCTGTTCCGGACTATAAGTTTAAGTTTACATTCATATTACATTAATCAACTTTCCATGTCATATTATATTATTACATCATCATTAGATTTTAATTTCAAATCCGCATTATCCTTTACAGCAAATCTCAGTTCTTACTAATTTTAATTCATATTATAATTCATTCTATAATAATCAATTATAACATATCATTGCTATTGTATTATACTTCAATTTCCTACTTTTCTATCTAACCATTAGTATATTAAATCCCATATCTTAAAGTGTTCTTTTTCTTCCTGCTCTCTAACTGCTGACGTTAATCTACTCATTTCTGCACATTCCATTATTTTCTTCATCACCTCCTCCTCCTCTATCAGAGTTTTCCCATTTTTCCATTTTTTTGCCCTGCCAACTTTGGAAGAAGTAAACTGGAACCCATTGAAGTTTAAGTTCTTAATTTTTTAGGTAGCCTTTATGGAAGTGCCCCTCAAGGGGAAGGGGTCAAAAATTGGTTGTCACTGTTTAAAAAAATAGAGGTGGCAGAAATGCCATTTTTAACAGGTGCCCCCCAGTGCTTCTCAGCTGGACTTCCCAAAACATGATCCCAAAGGAGGTGGTGCTTGGTCCAGTTTCTGAGCTTTTGTGGGGGGCACAAAAATCAGGGGTGACAGGGCGTGAAAAATGTATTGGTAATCCTTGACATATGACCACAATTGGCAGCAGGATTTCCCAAGGCAGTCGTTAAACGAGTTGCCCCTGAGTTTGTGATCTTTCCCCCCTCATGATTGTTAAGTTAATCTTAGCTTGTTGGAAACCAGCTGGGAAGTCTTGAGTAGCGACTCAAGATGCTGTAACCGTTGTAAATACACGCCAGTTGCCAAATGCCTACATTTCGATCCCGTGACAGTGGGAGTCCTACAACGGTTTCATGTGTGAGGACTGGTCGTAAGTCACTGCTTTCAGTGCCAATATAACTTTGAACAACCATTAAAGGAAGGGTTATAACTCAAGGACTTCCATTACTTAACCACTCCGCCCAGTCTCCAACTCTCAAAACTTTATAAAGCCTCATTTCTGGTTATTCTTTTCTCTCTCTCTAAATATTCCAATCCCAAATAAATCTAATTGGACCTACTTCCTTGAGCGTGACCTGACATGAACTCAGACAAAACCGGTTTGCTTCCCGCTCTTCTCATCCAAATTCTTTCCATTTTGATCAGACATACAAATTTAACACATGGTTAGAACTAGGGGAGTAGTTTTTTTTCCTTTTCAACTCATGATACATTGTCTTCTGATAGTTTATTATTTATTTTTGCATTGCACACAGAGCATGTCTCTGAGCCATTAATAGAGTCGGAAGGGACCGTGTAGGTCATCTAGTCCAACCCCCCCCCC